GGGGGGGGGCTCTTGAAAGTGGCTCCTAGCCCAGAGGCTTTGCCTTATGCTCCTTATGTTCTTGGCTTTTGCCTTATGCTTCTGGTACGTCTTTGAATCTGGACAGTGGAAAAACTGTCATTTTGTAGTCTAGGCTATCGCCTCTGTGCCAACTGCCTGTTCTCCCTCTTGTTCCATCTCAAAGTACTTCCATGGCCCTCCATGCTCTCCTTCTGCTAGCTCCAGCTTTTGTGTACTCTTAGTATCCCAGCTCTGACGGCAAAAGGTGTTTTCGGGCCTTATACTCTTTCTGCTGGAAGAGGTGTTGGCACTGCCCTGCTGTCTGAAGTGAACTTTTCTGAATGACTCTCAACATCTCTGTCAGTTCTTGCCTCTAAACAAGGTAATGGGAAGTGCCACATCCCCTTCCAGGGATCTGAGTTCCTACTTCTTCCTCCTGCATCTTCATTATCCAGTCGCTTGTTACCAAGTGCATGGCAGCAGAATTGTAGGTTATGGTGAGGATCTACAGAGCTTGGACTTTAGGAACGGTACCATGTTTGTTGGAGCAAGGCTCAAAGGAATTGTAGATGTAAGCAGTGGTGGTATTTGAAATTCCCAGCACTGTTCTTGAGGCTGATTACTTGTGGATAGGTGAAGATGCTGTTGAATAATAATTTGAAAGCTGCTCTTGTGGTTGAAGTACTTCACCTCCTTCCTGCTTTCACTGTTCTTCTAGAGATTTTGACCTTTGGGATTGAGAGAATTGAGGGTCTGGGACATGTGTTACCTAATCTGTTGAGCGCAGGATGGCTGAGGTGTGTCTTTGCACTCCATGAATGTTTAAGCTTAAAAACAAATAAAGACTTTGCATCACTAGCAGTGCAAGAACACCCATGGTATAAATGCTTGAGGACTGCATGGTTTTGACTTATGATAAATAATCTTTCTTTGTACAAAAACAAAACAAAAAAAACCCAAAAACTGGGGTAGATAAACTTTACTCAGTGCATCCTCTTCTTACAGAAAACTTCCCCCTCCCTGATCTGGTGTCTGAGACTAGTACTGGTGTGGAAACTACAGCCAATAGTAGCACTTCCCTAAGGTAAGACTGCTCTTATTTTCATTATTTTTCTTAATTCTTGTGGACAACAGTTTAGGCTGCACTTTAGAAGAAGTCATGACTGAGATTATTTGCATTCTTCAGCTTTCACAGGCAACCCTGAAGCCTCTAGGCAGTCACGTTAGACAGATGAGTTTCCTCAGTGGATTTTTGTTGTTGTTGAAAAAATGAAAGAGCTTTTCATATCACCGCAGTTTAAACATAAATTAAGGAATAGAAAATGTGTAGTTTTTATCTTGAGCCTGTGATTAGCCTCCCTCCTGATTTACTCCCTTGTGAGGCAGTTAATGCTGCATATGTGTTGTGAGGCTTAAAGCCCTGTCTGCAGGACTCTCAAATTCTGTGGTGACAGAAGGTCATAGAAACAGTACAGTTGATACAACCCTTCTAAAGTCCAGAGGATGCACACAGGACTCCCACTGGTTTAGCCACAAGACATTTTTTTTAACATTCTTTTAACACTTAAAGTGGTCATTTTTCACCTATAGATTAATTGAAACAATGCTATAAAACTGATTTAACAGCTGTGGTTTTTCCCTTAAGATCTACCATTCCTGAGAAGGAAGTTCCTGTGATCTTCATTCATCCTTTAAACACTGGCTTATTCAGGATAAAGCTACAAGGAGCAACTGGGAAATTCAATATGGTTATCCCATTGGTGGATGGAATGATAGTCAGTAGGAGAGCTCTTGGTAAGCTAAAGATTTTTAGGAACACTCATGTTTTGATTTTTTAAAAAATATATCTGCAAAATACATAGTCTGGAATCTTTCATTGGAAAAAATACTGGGCATGGCAGAACAAAATAAACCCATGCTTTTTGCAGCAACAGTGGTAGCAGGAACAGCAGAGGGAGCAGGTGGTCAGCACTTAGCTGACAGCATAGCAGGGCTCCACTGGAATTGTAGTAGGAGAGAAGTGAAGGGTTGGAACTAGTAGTGGTGGAAGGAAGAGGTAAATGCCTGTTATTTAGATAAGAGAGATCAGAAATGTGACCCTAATGTTTAGCATTGAGAGCTAAGGTGCTGGTGCTAGTTGACTGCCAGAGGGTACTGCTGAATTTTCGGACTGTGCTGGCATGCTGTGTTGCTTCTTTCTGTTTTAGAAGCTGGATAGAGATTAAAAGCCACAGCAATTGAGGATTTTCTAATATGTTCAGTAAAAATACTTAACCTACTATGCAGGCATGTGTTAACAGGGGTCCGTGTGTGCTGTCTGCTTTTTCCTGTGTTCCTGCATGGATTAATGGATCTGTCTTGGTATCTGTGCTACTATAGCTTCAGTAACTGGAAATCTTACTCCAGTGAGCAATTCACAAGACAGAGTGAAATGAATAAACGAACATTAGGATACTTGTACATAACCATAAAACTAACATTATAGGAGTCTGTTGGGGGTGACTTTCAGGTTCTGGTTTTTGCATGCTTAATTCAGTGATGGGGAAATTGAAGCCACACTGGGCCTTTAAATAACATTTGTGAATTCATCTGATGACAATGGCTTGTACTGAAAAAAAATCAGGTGTGTTTTCCTAGAGTTGGGCTGTTTTTTCAGCTGCATCAGGACTATTAGTATAATGAAATTTGTCTCATCTCTAAGTTCAGCAGATGTGGTTTGTGTGCAGTCAGGAATCAAGTCCTCTAAATAAGGAAGACACTGTTTCTGCCTGAAAGAAAGTGCTTGTGAAACAGCAAAGGGGTTAACGGACACTTACTTCATTAGAGGCATATGAATTTCATTTCAGAATAAAATAGGATAAAGCCCACTGCCAGCTTTGACCAAGTGTTACTGCTTTGGTTCCCAACCTTCTCCTCCCTGCCGTATACAGCAGTATGAGTTACAGAGAGGTAACAACAGTGGCAAAGCAGCAAGGGGAAGAGAAACCTGTTTCCAGCCACAACCCATCAAGTCTTTCCTTATCCCCTGTTCCAAGGGGAAGGCTCTGCAATTCCTACTGGAAAAAAGTACTGATGGGTACTTTTTTCATCCTGAAGGCTCCCCTGGCATTACCCAGTACGACCTCAGGGCCCATCCGAGCTCTGCATGTCCTGGTGCAGCATGGCCAGGGGCTGTAGCACTGTAATTCTTGTATTAGGTGCCCTGGATTCTTTCCCTTGTTGGCCCTGAGGGCGTTGTTGCGGGCTGTTGCTTGGCTCTGGCCATGGTTATCTGTTATCAACTACTCATTGAGAAGTTCTTGACTTGGTGGTGCTGAGCATCTCCCCTGGGTTTCTAGATGGGACAGAACCCAAAATAGTCTTTAGCTGCAAAGCCAGCAAAGGGGTGCAGACTTGAATTTGTTTAAACTTGATTCAAATGCTCTTTCTTTTTCAGGTTTTTTAGTGAGGCAGACAGTAATAAATATTTGTCGGAGAAAGAGGCTGGAAAGTGATTCATACAACCCCCCACATGTCCGCCGAAAACAGAAAATAGCAGACATTGTCAACAAATACCGGAACAGGCAGCTGGAGCCAGAATTTTATACCTCACTTTTCCAGGAGGTTGGGCTCAAGAACTGCAATCCCTAGGTCATTATCCTTCCAGGACAATTAGATCAGAGCTTGGTGGCTACAGTAATGAAAACAGTTAAATAACAACAACAAATTTCCTCAGCCCTCTGGAATTCAGGAAATCATATTCTAGCACAAGTCAGCAGATACCATGTGGGAGGAATGAGAAATGAATCCAAAACATTGCAGTTGGGATATTGACTTAATTCACCTACCCTCAAAAGATTACTTAATTCCAGTCTTCCTGGATGCTAGCAACATAATCTCTTCACCCAATCATCTATTCCAGACTAATTAGGAACTGTAAGTTTCTCACTCTGAGAGAGGAAAACAATCAAAACAAAGCCATCTCTGCCTATAAGGATGGAAAACAAAATACAAACAAACCTGCCTTCAGACATCTCGCTACACCCACGTGTTAAAGGAGAAGGGAGCAGATCTCTCCTTTGAGGAGAGAGTCTGTGTCAGAGCATTAACTATCCCTGCAAGAACTTAAAAGACACTTTCAGCCCCCCTTCAGAGCTCAACAGAAGATCATTCACTGCTTGCAACCAATTTGTGTACCAAAGCCAAGAGGAGGAAAACTGCTTGGAAACATCAGGTCATGAAATTCATAGCCAAGATGCTGTATTTTACAGTTCCCTCCATGGTTGGGAGTGAGTCCATCTGCATACGAGATTTGTCATGCTGACAACAAACAACACCTGAAATTACCTGACTTTCCAACATAAGTTGTTGCTGGATAAGAGCTCTTGGTTATACAAAAACAACGTTATGACTTTCAGGTCTGTTGCAAAATGTCGCATTTAATTTTAGTAGCTTGGGGGTTTTTTTAATTAATTTTTAAGCAACTACTTAATTTATTTTGAAGTGTCTGTATCACCTACTCACCGTTTCCATAAAAAGTGTAAACATCACTTGCTTTCCTTCCATTGGATTGAAATCTGAGATTCTGGGGCTGCCTCCTGCCTGATATTTATAGCATAAGCAGTTTTCGCAGCTTCTACAACACTTTTCAGAAGCTCCTGTTAAACAGACTAAAACAACTCAAAAAGAAAATTCAAGGATTCTTCTTTTTCCCCATTAACTTGCCATTCCATGAAAGCCCCTTTGGAATTATAACTTAAAATTGCTTTGAATCTGCTGTGCATTCTCATGCTCAGCAGTGGTGGCTCCCTTTCACCTAGGTCAGACGTTTTCATTGTCAGACTGTGGATTTCACGTGTTCAGGACTTGAAGGTTGTGCTGGGAAAAGATGTTTACAACTACAAATTTAGTATTGGGAATATAAAAGCTGCAGTGGGCGCTGGCAGCCTTGGGAGCGCTTTCAGGCTCCCAGCGCAATCTTGACTTGTGTTGCAGTAATGAATCATCGCTGGCGCTCCCGGGTAGGTGCGGTTTGTGATCACTGGCAGCAGCATGTGTCCTTTTCCTTCCAGTAAGCAGGTAATGTAAGACTGAGTGTGAGCAGGAATTTGGGGAGCTCCTCATGTTATTCCAGAAGTGTTTTTATTAGCTTTTTAATATGCATTGCAGTAATACCTGTCAGTCATGTAATTTTGACATTTCAGAGTTACTTTTTGCAGCAGTTCTGACCTGAAACAGTCTTAATTGTTTCATTACAACTTACCTGCCAAGGACATACCCTGCTCCTGTCTTTTCATGTGGTTTTTCACAAAGAGTTAATGGAAACACAGGCCTCTCAAAATACATATGAAAGGACTTTCAGGATGTCAACCAAAGGGGTTTTAGGTGATGTGCTTGTTGCAGGGGACAAGCACACTAGCCTCTCAACTCAGGAGCTCTGGATTTTGATCCAAATGAATCACAAGTGGAAAAATGAAACCACATAAAGAGAACTACTGTAGAAGTAAGCATGTTGGCTGGCCCACGCTTGCGTGATGCCCAGGTTGCAAATGGCAGGAGGAGCCGCAAGGCAGCGTTTGGGTGTATTGGCAAAGCTGTGAAAGGAAACTTGGACAGCTTCATCCTCTGCCAAACTCTTGCCAGTATCAATTTAACGCACGGACACTAAATTTACCCACATTTTGTATGTACCTATTGGATCTAATTAATGGCCAAACACACTTTAGTCCACTGATTTAAAAGGCATGACCAATGCATGTGTAACAAGTAAACATACTGAGCAATCAAATGTCTGCACATCTTCAATAACGTAAGAACAAAACCCACATGGCATAGCTAAGTGTGTTATATGCGAAGTCATTGGTTCATGTAGTAATGAGCTGCAAAAGATACTTCTTTCAGGCATTCGGGTACAGTCAGTACAGACGTGTGCATTTGGGGAAACCCTGGATATTTTCTGCAAAGTCCAAGATAGCCAAATGGACTGCCTGAAAATTTACTTTTTAAAAAGGCCTGTGCTTGGCTGAAGAATAGTCTTGGGTCTGTTTCCATGTTCATCGAAAACATGGGTATGGCGCCCACTTGAGCGGTAACAACCGTGAAAGCAATGCAACTTTTCAGAAGTCTTGAAAGACGGTAACTTTTGTGCACATTGTTGCTGCTGATCCCACCGCCGGGGGAGTAGGCGTGTATAACGTGCTTAATGTGATTTGTAAAACCAGCTGGTTAACACGTTAGACACTTGTAGTATGACCTGGCCATAAGTGTTGGGTGTTGCTATCTGGGAAGGTGAACCTTCAAGAAAGTCACAGTTTAGTATAAAAATGTTGCGATTACAGAAATGTGTTGCCATCCCACTTGGTTTGGATGCCGGTCGCAGCAGCGAGCGCCCCTGGCAGACCTGTGCCGGTGGAAGGTGTCTGCCAGGAGTGTCCCTCCTTCCCCTGTGCGCGGAGAGGCCTCCGACTTCATAAGTAAATGCAAAACACTAATTTGGGAATGAAATCCTTATCCTGTCGAAGTCAGTGGCCAAACTCCGATGGCTTCAGCTAGTCCAGGGTACAGCCTTGAGCTTTTTTCCCCAAAAGGGTTAGAGCAAATGAGATTTATTTCGGTTGTGATTGCAAGAACATGTTGGTCAAGAATCCAGACTTCTTTTCATCACAAACTGCTGTATTGAGTTTTCAACTTGACAACGTGCGTGGCTTGGGTTTGTGTTTCTGTTCATCGGAGGTGACGAGTATTGACCACTTGCTTTGCGCGTAGCGTGACGTCAGTCTCGACTCCGCAGGTAACATAGTGCTGCAAAAGCTGAGTTGCAAATGTTGCATAATAACTAAACTGAGACTTTCTCTTTTCATAAGACCTTTCTGTTTGGGTTCGTAATTCTGCTTTAAATGATGGCATCCTTTTAACGGTGCAGAAAGAGGGGGGACCATTGTCACCTTGTTAAACACAGTGTTGAAATTACAGAGATTTTAGTACCTTAATACTGACTCTCTTTTAAAGAAAAGCATTTTTTCTTAAAGGTACTTTTAAAAAAGGCATTACAACCTTACAGCGAACAGGAGATGGGAAGGACGGTGCCTGTGGAAACTAAGGTGTCTATGTGGGATAGCAGCGTGTGCACGAGGCCATAGGGAAGAGCAGCCCCTCGCTGCTCGACTGGCTATACGTGCTGGGTTCTCCATAGGTGACTGCATTTCTTTCCTGCGAGGTTCTGCATGCCCAGAAAGACGAGAGAACTAAATTTCAGTCTAACAGACAAATTTGATGTGATTTAACAATTGCATAATTGAGTGATGTCTTTGAAGGCAAACACAGACCTTTTCCACGTGGATTTTAGCAGGAGCAATTAGAAATGAGAATGCCAGATATCATGTGCTTCAAATCATATACAATTTGTATGAATTTCTGTATGTTGCCAAGACATGATCTTTTTGTTCTTACTGTATTTTTCTGTAAATATTCCTGGCGCTAAGTTGTAAAGTAAAGGCAAAATGTAAATATGAAGATGTGAACTATGTTCCCTTGTCTCTAGTACTTTATCTCTTATTTGTTTAGGGAAGGCACACAAAGGCTTGTTTGTATTTATGCCAATTCTTTGTCCAGGAGAAACACATCAAATATTGAATGTAACACAATTAGTCCAATAAATTTTAAAGATTCTTATCTAGTAACTTTGCAGTTGTCAATTTTTAATATTTTTCCAATACTCTTCGTTGAAATTATCAGCCAATAGGGATGTTTCCCAGGCAAATAGCAGACGGATGTAGTAAAATTGCGCACCCTCTGCTATGCAGCAGCTATGGTAACAATGCACCAGCTTATATTTAAGGAAATCACGTTGCATCTCGACGGCGTGGGGAATGAAAACATGGAAACACAGCTTTTAAAGGGAGACCCGATGCTCCTGCAATGCAAATGTTCTCAGGAAGCAGCGCTTTGAGCAACCGATCTTGGGCGTAAGTCCCCCGCTGTGCAGCCGGCTCTGCTGACACCCTGCGAGCGGGACTGAGGAAGTTGCTGCGATAAAGCCGTGCAGTTAAAATGCAGCAGAGTCCTACGAGTGTTAGAGACGGCTTATTTCTGTACAGATTGAGGATAAAAAAATTGACTTCTCAGTTGTTTGGATTAGGAGAAGAGCTGGGCAGCAGTGCAGGAGACTCTTGTGTCCTGCGAAGGCGATGCACCCAGCGAGCTCTGGGGAATTAGGAAAGCTTCAGGAAACCTGTAGTAGAGCGTAGGGTTTGTCAGTGCCCCTCCAGCATTGGACCAAGGAGCCAAACCGCCCATTGACCATCGCTAAGCTCCCCAGGGAGGTGACAAGCTGTCACTGTGGGTTGCCTGGGTCAGGGCTGCGGTGTTTGGTCTGGCAGGACCCTGTCTGTGTGTCCCAGTGCTTTACTGCTGAGACACCAGGTGGTGGTTAGCTGGTAGTTACCCTGCGTTGTCAGCAGCAGTTCACCTTCACAGCAGCTCTTAACATGAGATGCTGCCTTCGGGACGTTAGCCTTTCGTGAGCTGTCCATGCTTTGACTTTACCTGAGGGCTGGAACAAAAACACTGAACTGACCATTCCAGAAACCTCAAACAGGGCAAGGTGAATGTTGGTTTTCCTGCCAGCTCCCTCTCTGACAACTGCAGCAGGTGCCACCTGCCCAAGTTCCTCGCCACGTTGCTTCCAGGGGAGGTTAGGGCAGGTCCCACACTGATCTCTGAAGAATCACAGAAATGAGTGATAAATAGTTAAGTGTCTTCCTCTGCAGCCCCAAAGCGTAGGGCCAGTAGCAGAGAGGGCTTTCTGGGGTTGGTTTTGGAGGCCTGATGCTTTCTCCTTCCCTACAAAAGGAAGCAAAAGGCACCAGGCAGAGTGGTCCATCCCTCTCCCGGGGGGCTGGGAAACCTGGCTGTTCTTGCCATGTATCCGGCCCGCTGCTGCGGGCTTCTCACTCACTACAGGTTTCTTCCCGTTGCTTTCCCCATGGCTTTTCCCCAGTTTTCATTTTGCGGCGTGCAGTTTCTGGCCATGCTTCAGCCATGCAGGGAGATGCTCTTCAGCTGACGTCTGCTTCTCCTCAAAAATCCTTTCCTTTGCTGCGGTTCTCATAACACAGGTTTTCAGCCCAAAGTGGACAGGCTCTTCGCCCCTGAATAAATGAACTTGCACTTTGCTGTGCTGAAGTGCAGGTAGTCTGGTGGCAGGTCAGCCAACGGCCCAAATCCCTCCTGCCACGTGCTGCACCTGTGGTGCCACGGACTCATCCTGCACCAGCGCTTGTCACCCCAAGCTACTGCCAGCCCCCCTCTTTTTTTCCCAGTTTTATTGATAAATCTGCTGATAGCCTTGGGCTGGGCGTTAGACGCATCTCCCCACTCTGAGCTGTGCCGGCGGCTTTGGAGCCTGACCCTGAGTTACAGCAGCCTCCGAACCTTCCTGCTGGGAGCTGCCTGCAGGTCTGCCAACACACCGGCCCCGGCGCTGCTGGCGGGAGTGGGATGGCACCCCCGGTTCCTTGGCCCCATCCTGCACGGCAGCCCCGAAGGATGGCTCAGGGTGCCCAGGGGGAGCTCCCAGCAGGAATAGGGGCTGGTCGGGGGGCTGAGGACCCCCTCCCAGCCCAGGGCCCTTCAGAGGAGGGGTGCTGGGGAGGGATGGGCTGCTGCTGAGCTGTTTCAGGGGTCTGGAAAGCTCACTTAAGGGCCTCGGGTTGAAAGTGCCTTTTCATCAGCAGAGCCTGTGGAAATGGGAGGTGTTTTGCGTGCAGGGAGGCTGCGTGGGTATGCGGTGGTGACCAGACTTCAGCTTCAAGCAAGCCCAGGAGCTCAAAGGCAACTCTAGTGGCTCCTCCACCATCCGGCTTCCTCAGGGCACAAGAGCCCGGCTGGGAGCAGCACCAAGCAATTCTTTGCGTGGCCATTTTTTTATTAAAGCTCCTCCCATGCACCGAAGGTATTTGATGCGGAGGCAGTAAAGAGAGTCATGAAACTGCTGTAGTGCACCAGGGCATCATTTTGGAGGCAGCACGCAGGCGATTGCTGTAAAAACAGGAGTAACAAATCCAGGGATGGAGGCAGGAGTGGCTGCAGCGTGGAGCAGCCCAGGAACAGTCGTTCTCACCCTCCGCCACAGCCAGAGATTAGAATTAATTTCTAATTTGCTGTTAATTGAGGGGAGCTGCTCCATGGCACACGCAGCAGCCGGCAGCACCCCACAGCTGTCCCGCACCCCATGTCCTGCCCAGCCCGGGCGAGCGGAGGGGCCTGGGAACTTTGCTATGGGGGATGCAGAAGAGACGTCTCATCCCCAGCGCCCTCCGCCATCCTCTTCATCAGCTCAATTCCTATAAACTTGCCAAGCGGAAGCAGGAGAAACACCACACGCTGACACCCAATACACCTATTTTTCTCGCCGCAGCATGGCTAATTCTGACCACAAATGGAGCCAAATTACATTACAAATAATTTTCCAGGGTGAAATGTAATTTAGTTACTGCTTTAAGCCGAGAAAATATTATTTGGCTGCTGGCAGTGAACATGTGTCTGTCAGGAGGAGGGGTAAGATGCTGAAGGTGGAGCTGGTCTGAGCCGTGGCTGCGGGCATCCTCCAGTGCACCCGCTTTGGTGGTGGGTGCCGACGGGGTGTCCCCCCAGGCAGTGAAGGTGCCGTGGGTGTCCCTGGGCTGTGGGTGTTGATGGGGTGTCCCCAGGCCAGGCAGATGCTGATGGGGTGTCCCTGGGCTGTGCTGGTGCTGCCAGAGCATCCCTGGACCATGTCAGTGCCACCGGAGTGTCCCTGGGCCACATCAGTGCTGCTGGGATGTCCCCGGGCTCTGTCAGTGACACTGGGGTGTCCACAGGCCACATTGGTAGGGCATCCCAGGGCTGTGGGGGCCACTGGGGCATCCCAGAGCTGTGGCTTGGGTCATCGCTGTGACGATGGGTCCCGTCACAGCATCATGGAGAAGGGCAGTGTGTTGCCTTGGCAACAGGAGCATCCCAGGGGGTCTCAGACCTGGCCTTCAGCTGGAGTGATGACATGGTTTGGCATGCTGCTTTGGGGGAAATCCCTCATTCCCAGCGCTGCTCCAAAAGCTGTGGGCAGCACTCGAGGCACGGCAGTGGCCGAGGGGAGCTGGGTGGAAGCTCACCTGGGCGCATGCGAGGTTTAAACCTGCTTTCTGCTTCTTGTGAGAGCAGTGATATTTTCTGCTTTATTATATGCACTGTGTCAAAAACACCTGCCCTGCACACGGGGGCCCAGCTCTGCCTTTAACCCAGACACGGGTGTGATGGGAAGAAGCGATGCACTGCGGCTCTGGGGCTCGCGCCAGGTTTTCTTGCGAAGGTTTTACTGGGAAAGGTGGACATGGGCCAATTCATCCTGGCAGCAGAGGGAAAGGCTTCGCTGGGCTGCCCCCGCAGCTGGTGGCGGTGGGACGGGAGGAGCCGCGGTGCACCACCACCTTCACCGGCTCCAGGGGGAACAGGCTGCTTTTGGGTGGTAAAACCGCTCCCCCCCCCAGGGCAGAGCCCCAGCAGCAGCAGGGGTGTCACAGAGGAGGC